TTATTATTATTATTATTATTATTATTATTAAACAAGAAGGAAAGAGGAGCTAAGCATTGGTATTTAGAAATTCTGCTGGGGCCAAGACATTTTCAGAGGATGGGAAATACTAGAAAATAACAATAGAAAAATCAGAATTTGTATCCCAGTTGCAACCTTATCTGACAACAGAATCGTTTTGTGCTGCCATCATTTTTCCTTATTCTCTGGAAGACTTCTTTAGGTGGCAGCTTCCTTTAAATTTTAACTATTATCATGAAAAACCCTTTGAAAGAAAGATTCAGTGTTATCATAACTTATAAGAGACCCACAATATGCAGAAGAGAGTGGAATCCTATGATAAATGAGATGACATTAAATCAATCATAAATTCAGAGGTATGTATAGAAAACCTTTTAAAATGGGCCACAGCTGCTGACGCAAGAGATAGCACACCATAGGTGATCAATGTTACACAAAGCTCTGCCCTTATAAATACTGAGAATTTTCTCACTGTAGTTATGTTGAAAGTATAAAGAAAATAAAGTGATGATTATTTCTCTGCTGATAAAATGTGTACTGCTCTGTAAATGAGTGCTATATTATTACTGTGCAACAATAATAGCATTAAAAATGTTACTGTCAGCAGATTAGTGTCACAGATGATTTGGTTCATAAAAAATTGTAGACTTTGAGAAAATAAAGTACTGGAAGTCATTTGCTACTTGATGTTTTTTGTGTTAAAAAAAATCAGTAGGATGTACAACACACATGCATACATGGAAAGACTCCCAGCATCCCTTTAATCTGAATGCTTATTTGAACTTTCTTGTAGTTGTATTTTGATTTCAAGTTATTCTAGTATCCCTTTTACACATATTCTATCCTTCTAGGTAAGGAGAGAATTGGGAAATAAAAAGGTGGTGGGAGATGGCAAAGGCAATGTGGACATTTAAATTCTCCTTCAAATTATTCTATTGTGAGCTTTTTCCCTTTCTGCCTTGGCTTTTAGTAACTGCCTTCTGGAAAATAAAAGCTTCGAGGATAATAAAAGAAAATGTTATCTGATCTTGCTCTTCCTCGGATATATTAGGAAGCTAGGAGAGATGAGTTTACTTTTTCTTTCTGAAGTGCCTGAGCAGTTTTTCTAGCATTAAGAAGGATGACTCAAAAAAAACTATTTCTCAAGATTTTGGTAACCCGTATGGCTACCAAAATCCTGAGAAGAGACTGACAGTAGCATTAATAGCATTAATGTTTCTTTTAAAAAATCAGGTTCATTCTCCATCCAAAATTTTTATTTTCAGGCTTTCTTAAATTTTTACTTAAATGTTATTTTTCCAGGTAAATATTGATGAGCAGGCAGCCTCTTTTTTTTTTTTGAATTTTTATAAAAATTTATTTGAGCCAAACAGAAGATATGTCTGGAAGCAAGATCTCAACAGACGAAGAAAAATACTTCTGGCAGTGTCTTTCAAGAGTTGGTTTTACATAGGATTCAGTTTGAATTCCTGTAGATTTAATTGGTATTGAAATAGTCTTCGTATAAAATGTTTATTTTTGAAAACAAACGTGTATCCATATCTATTCATGTATTCTTATGTTTGTCTACATTACCTTGCAAAAATGTATAAGAAACTGGTAGCACTGATTGCTCTAAGGGGAGCAAATGGGGTTTGGAAGATCTACCTTATTCTATATATCCTTTTTTATACTTGCAATTCCCCCTGTGTTTGTACTTATTAAATTTAAACGTAGAAAGGAAAAAGGAAAGGTTGATTTCAACAGTTTTAAAGATCTCCTATTCTCTTTTACAGTGATATCTTGAGAGAAGATGGGAAAGGGCTGCAAAGTTGTGGTTTGTGGCTTCTTATCTGTGGGGAAAACAGCAATTTTGGAGCAGCTTCTTTATGGGAATCATACTGTTGGTAAGATGACTTTTCTCTAGTTTCTCTTTAGGTTCTGGGCCTTGTTAGGGGCCTTTTGTTGGTCATGCTAACCTAAAGATGGGTGACGGTACACCAAAGTGAGGTTTAATCCAGAGACACCGAAAGGATCATAGAAGTCAACAGAATGGGAGAGGAAAAAATAGAAAAAAAACATCTTTTATAATATTGAAGTTCAAGAGGAAAAAATAGAAAAAAACATCTTTTATAATATTGAAGTTATCGGAAAGAAAACTCTGTGTGTGTGTGCTTTCTACATGTGTGGTTTCCTGTGATTTACATAATGAAGAGTGGTCTTGGAGTCATAGACTCACTGACTTAAGAGTAACGCTGAGGGTGGTTCCATAGAGTAGTGGTGAACACGTCTGCTTTACATGCAGAAGGTCCTGGGTTTGAGCCCCAGCAGAGCCATGGCTCATACCCTGGGTGTGCCAGGCCCCAGGTGCACCAAATAAAAAAATTTAAAAAAAAATTGCATTTAAAAAAAAAAGTAACACTGAATGATCCTTCATTCTTATTTCAAACATGACTTCCCAATACTGCTGTGTAGGTTTGTTTTAAAAATGGGAGATACAGCTCTTTGCTACAGTATGACCCAATTTTGTGAATTGGATTATCTCATTCATTTAGTCATTCATTGAGTTAAATCATTACTAAATACTTCCTATATGAATCCAGGCTGTGATGAGGCTTCATGAGAATTCAGAGGTGAAGAAGACACGTTTGGCTTTAAGGAGTTCATGGTTTAGTAAGGAAGACAGACATTACAAGTTAGAATGCAATGATGTTTTTGTTAGAGAAGAAAGTAGATTCATAGATCTTCGAAGTATTTGTCTCTGGCAAGTAGCTTAGAGCACATTTCTATTTTACTTTTATTAACTGTTTTGATGAGCTCTGCTTCTCTTCTACCTTCCCAAAATAATGTTTAACAATTTTGGTTAAATCCATATTTAGTTTTTATTATGGTGCCCGTGCCAGCAGTTCTCAAACTTTTTGGTTTCTGAATACCTCCTGTCATAAAATGCTGCACTATTGGTTCTTAAATTTTTACCTCCAAATTGTAATTTATGCCTATGCAAAAAAAAAAAAAAAAATTATGCCCAGCAGAGAATCCCTTTATCCTCTTAAAAAGCCACAGACAGCTTTTGTTTATATAATAAAGGCTATATCTTTTGATATTTTTCCTGTAGTAGAAATTAAAACTGAAAAATTCAAAAAATACTTATTAAAATAATGACAGTAAACTTAACACATGCTAAGATAATGTGTTTTATGAAAAAAACTACATTTTCAAAAAAATTAGAGCATTGATTTACATTTTTGAAAATCTAATGTCTAGGTTGACAGAAAGTAGCTGGAATACTATATTTACCATATTATGTTGTTTTACTTGAAATAAATGAAGAAAAATCTGACCTTATGCAGATACGTAGTTGGAAAAGGTAGGAGTATTTAAGACTTTCTAGATAATTGTGGATATTCTTTGGTATTTCACAAAAAGCCAACATGTGATGATTATTTAAAGGTTATTGCAATATGGAATCTGAAACTACATAAGTGAACTTTTCCTATTCTATTATGTTAAATTCTCATTGATCTGTCTTGCACTTTAAATGGGTTTTTTTACCCAACCATGGCTTTTTCACATCATTAACTGGTCATTTGGAAAATACTGGTTCCCTGAGATTAGCAGATCTTCCAAATAACATTAATGTCATCACCAATCTCATCAGTGTGGAGAAGCTATCAAATTCATGGTGATGGATACAATTCTAATTTCTGCTTGAGAGCTCAAATTTTATCATTGACAACAAACACTGCTAGTTATTTTCCTTGAAATGATAGTCTCCCTTTATTCATTTTTGAGAAAATGGCTGTCAAATATCCTGACTAACCATGATTTTTCTATCATTTCTTCTTTTTTAAAAAGTGTCTAGTTCAGCTTGCAACTCAAACACAAGAGCTTTTCCTCTAGATAATTACCGTAATTCATTTTATAGAAATAGTTTATGCATACTTCCCATTAATCATATAGAGTATTAAAAAACACAAATATATACTCAAGATTGAGATTTAATAAAATTAGTAAATTTTACTGCTTCACGAAGGACATTCTTAAGTGAATAGCCTCAAACTGGAAACAGCCCAAGTTTTTGTCAAGATAGAAGAGATAAATAAATTGAGGTATATATTTATACAATAGAATACTGTAAAGCAATGATGAGGAAGTGAAACTGGCTTTTTATTTTTTTAACTGCAAGTAAGAGGTGGTGAAGAATACAACTGCTAATACCATTGATGCCACTGCCTTGATTTGTACTAAGGCACCAGCAGTTTTACCCACTATTGCTTTTGCACTGCCAGTGCAAGTGTCAACATAGTGAAAAAGACAGATGTCTTCATGTTATTATGAAAATAGTTTTGCCCACATGGATTCCCTGAAAGGAGACCTCAAGGGATCTTTAGACCACACTTCGAGAGCTACTGGTGCATGTAAATATTCTCAACTAGAGCAGCGGTGTGCAGTATGACTGTTTCTTTTCTTTCTTTTTGTTTTTATGGAGCCTAATATTTGCTTTATTTGTCATTTCTTTAGCATTGTTTATACTTTTTGTTAATCCCTCCAAGATGTCCAGATGTTTCTCAATTTTCCAGGTCAACTCAGGTAATCCTTTTTTTCCCCTTGGAGATAGCCTTCCAGTAGCTAACATCCTAGGCCTATTGCACAACTCTCACCATGGAACTTCCCTTTACCTTTCTTTCCTCCTGGATTTGATTTCTGTTTCCTGGATCTCTTGTCATCTTCTTTTGATTTACACCCTTTTTTTGGTGGAGCACATCTCCAGTAATTTTTTTATGTTGAAAAGGTTGTACAGTGGAATGGGGCGTTGGGTGATGACAGACCTCAAAATGCCTTCTATGCCTGGCACATAGTAATAGTAATCTTGGGGCTTCTGAATAGAGATATTTACTGTTGCTCCTGTGATTCTCTTTACACCTGTGTTGGGTGCTGTTTTCTGGATCTGGAATCTTCCTCTTTCTATGATTACATGCTAATTTTGGAGAGCCCCCTCAAATAGGTTCCTGAAAAAATGTATGTGATACATTTTTTTGAGGCTTCACATGCTTGAAAATGTCTTTATTTTACACTCACAATTGAATTATAATTTCGATGGGTAGAGAATTCCAGGTTGAAAATAATTTCCTTTCAGAATTGTGAAGGCATTCTCCATTTTTATCTATTCTCCTTTTATTATAAAATGCATCATACATATAGCAAAGTACATAAAACACATATGTGGTTTAATGAATAATTATAAAACCGACCTTTGCATAATCTCCACGCAGGTGAAAAAGTAGAACATCGAAGGCACTCTAGTAGCTTCCCATGTTTCCCTCTCCAGTGACAACCTAGCTCTTCCCTTGGCTTTTGGTTAGTCATTCTCTTCATAGTTTTGCCACATTGCTAAATAATAGTTTATTTTTGCCTGTTATTGACTTATATAAATGGACTCATGTTATATAAATTCTTCAGTTTCTGGCTTCTTTTACTTTATTTGTAAGATTCTTTCATATTGTTCTAGTTAGCTGTGATTTAATTTTCATTGCCTTTTCATATGAATACACCTCAATTTATTTATCTCTTCTAACTTGATGAACATTGAGCTGTTTCCATTTTGGGGCTATTAGGAATAATGCTGCTATGAACAGTCTTGTACATGTATCCCAGCTATTATGTGGACAAGTTCTGGGGTATATATCTAGAAGTGAAATTGCTGGTTCATAGAGTATGTATATCTTCAATTTTACCAGATTCTATTATCTTCTTGCTTCTACTGTTGCTTTTGAGAAGCAGAGAGCCATTGATATTCTTGCTGCTTTAGATGTAAAACCTTTTGTAGCTTCTCTTTCTTGTCCCCAGTGTTCTGAAATTTCACAGTGATGTATCATGGAATTAGTCTGTTTTCATCCACGGTACTGGGCACTTGGTGGGCCCTTTCAATATGGAAATGCATATTCTTCAGTTCTGAATTATTTTGTTGATGCTTTCCTTCCTCTGTATTCTCTTCTCTCTTTCTGGATGCTGGACCTTCTGGGCTAGTTATCTAATTTTTTCTTCCTCCTGTTTTTCATTTTTCAATATTTTGTTCCCACTTTCTGAGAGTTTTCCTTATCTTTACTTTCCAGCCCTTCTATTGAGGTTTCATTTCTTAGTATACTACTCTTATTTCATGGATTCATTATCCTATGTCTTTGAGTAAAATATTGGGTGGTTTTTTTCTTTTTCTTTTTTTTCCCTTAGGTACTCTTTTCTGATTTTTGGTCTCTCTTTTCCTCAGATATTTGGTAATCCTAGATTTTCTTGCTCCTACTTAAGAATGGAGAACTAAAAAGTTAATTGAAAGCCGTAAGCATGTGGTTAAAATTTATGACATTGAGCTTCACTATATGGTGATCTGGATGGGGCATTTGTTGGGGAACCCTAGAAGTCATCATATTTAGGACTTTACCTTTTTCACTGGCCAGATTCCCTAGATTCTTTTGCCTAGAGGATAAAGACTTGGCTGCCAAAGTTTTGGGAGCAAAGGGAGCATGTCACTTAATTGCCCCTTATTTTCACTGTGGAATTCATACCCTTTATCCTCCAGTCTAAGCATCCTGTTTACCCTCTCCAAAAATTGTACCCTGAGTCTTCTGCTGGTACAGTGTAGGGGTAGTTGTCCAGCATCTTGGAGTGGGAGAGATTTAGAGAGCTAATGGAAGAATCATGACATAAGTTGATTTATACAGTAACAAAATCTCAAAAGGTCTAAGCTTAATGGGGAGAGAAGGGGAACTAGACTGGCTTTTGATAAAACATCTACCAAAAGTCTTGGTAGCTTTTTCTGTAAATATTTTTGTAATCAAAGGCCAGATAAGTTTATGTCTTAATAGAGTAACTTTTAATTTCCTAATGGTAGCTTAATTTATCACAGGATGATACACATACTCAAACTTATGAATAATTGTCCCTTTCTAAACATTTAACACATTCTTTAATGTAAAGAATTATGCTGATGAAAGTAAATTTTTGATCTCATGATCCAGTGTTTATTGTTACATGATTATTCCTTTTAGTCTAATACTTTATGAAATTTTTTTTTAATACTTGTAGACATTTCTTGTAAGGTATCTGTAACATCATTCTGTAGTATTTAGGTTGTTTAAGAAAACTATAGCAAGAGTTTTCAAAAACCTATAATATAGTATGTTTTATTGGTATAGGATGTTATCTATATGATTCAATACCTCTGGAGGTAGCTCATATTTAAATATGAATGTGATTACTGGGACAGCACCATACCTATCTTACATGCCTTTCCCAATATACATTAAAATTCAAAGTGTTCATCTCCCCTTAATTCTCTTATCAACAAATGATTATTGAATACTTGTTGTGTACACAGAATGTTTCCTTTCTCTCAAGGAACTTATAGACTAGTTGAAGAGACAAACCTGTACAAATGGAGCAAAATAAAATACATCTTAAAACGATCACGCAGGCAAGAAAGGGCATGCAGTTGGGACAGTTATCCATTCATTCATTCGTTCATTCATTCAGCAAACATTTACTAAGGACTTTCTATGTTTGTGAGTCAATTCGTTAATCCTCAGAGCTATCAAGGTAGATTAGCCACAGTGCTAGCTCTCAAGGAGTTTAAACTCCAGCTTTAGAGGGGACCGATATGAAGGTTTAAGTATAAAATGGTATTATCTGTAGGAGCAGAAAGGAGGGAAAGGGATAATCAGGAGAGGATCCACAGCATTGACATTCGAGCAGAGCCCGGAAAGGTTACAAGGTGTTTACCAGGTGTAAACTGAACAATTGCAGTGGTTCAGGTGAAGATGACACACCAGTGAGAATGGAAAGAGGCAATGTATATTAGGCACATGTTTCTTCAGTAGAGTGTTTTATTTATGGTAACTTTCGCCCACACTTTCCTTGTTGAAATAGAACTCTAAAGACTGCCTGAGTGGATGGGGATCAAAAAAAAATCAAGGAGGAGGAACAGGTGTGGGAGGAAAAATAACAAGTTTTGTTAGTTTGAAGAACTTGCAGGACACATAAAAGTGCCCAATAGGCACTTGTGAATTAAAGCCTGGTGCTCAAGCCCACACTGGACATAGAAATTTTTGAGTCCCTTAAACAGATCCTGGAAATAGTGGAAGTTGTACAGGAAAAAAGCAGCAGATTTACCCTAGGTCCTGCCCTTGGGTCTGATGGGATGCTTTGTTGTTGAAGCTACTTTTAAAATCAGCCTTTACTTCTCCAGTTTAGGTATTAAGTTCTTTGATTCTTATTACAGTTACTTTTTAAAAATAATAGATCTCATTGCTAAATTTGTATTTCTACTTTTGTTTCTATACAGAAGAAATATTTTTAAAAAGCACTTTGTTTATTTACTACAACTACCTTTCATTTTAAAGAAGTTAGTAAATGGAAATATGATCCTTATATGTAGTAAATAGAGAAGCTAGAAAGCCAACTTCTAAAGGATAAAAAAATACTCAACAATTGGTACCGAGTTATCCAAAAAGAGTAATTTTTAAAATTGAGGTATAATTAACATACTAGTTTCAGTGTAGAACCTAATGATTCTGTATATGTATATATAAGAATTTGTTTTTAATACCAGGAATGGAAGATTGTGAAACAATGGAAGATGTATATATGGCTTCAGTGGAAACTGATCGGGGAGTGAAGGAACAGTTACATCTTTATGACACCAGAGGCCTACAGGAAGGGGTGGAACTGCCAAAGCATTATTTTTCGTTTGCCGATGGCTTTGTTCTTGTATACAGTGTGAATAATCTTGAATCCTTTCAAAGAGTGGAGCTACTGAAGAAAGAAATTGATAAGTTCAAAGACAAAAAAGAGGTAAGTGGGTATATTAAAAATGTCAACTATGAATTATAATACTATTTAAATTGTAGCATGGATTTTGGAGCAGTTAAAATGTTTTTAAAGCATCACCATGTATTCATGTTATCTTTAATTTTCATTTTTTTCTTAGCCCAGGAAATAAAGGACTGACTGAGTTCAGTCAAGACCAGCACTTGACTTTCTGCCTTTGCTTGTTACCATGTATAAGTTGAATTTTAATGATTTCATATCTTAAGTACTACATAGTTCGTTTCATATTGTTTAGGATCACTGTTTCCTAAGGCTCTCTATTGTCTCCTAGGCTAAATAGGATTCTTGTAGTCAGCCTTACAAAAAAAAATTTAATAATTATTGGGTACCACCCATTTACTACTTAAAAGTAAGATCTTTACCATGGTCTCAAGTCTTATATGACTTGGCTCACGCCTATCCTTTTCATCCTATCTTTATCATTCTATTCCCCTGTCACTGTACACCACTGGCATTGGTCTACTTTCTGTTTTTTCAACATGATAATTTTGTTCCCCTATTAGGTCCTTCTCAATTACTGTTTCCCCTGCCTGGAACTCTCTTACCACAGATCTTTTTCCAGATCTTCACATGGCTGACTCCTTATCATCCAGGAGTACATCACATAATGTACTGGTTAACAGCATTGGCTAGATATTTTTAACCTAGATATTTATATTTTATTTATTCTTATGATAAACTTTTTGTTTTGAGAGAATTGTATATTCACATGCAATAAGTGAGATCCTTATCTAGTTTCGCCTGGTGCCAGCATCATGCAAAGCTATAGTACAACATCACAACCAAGATACTGACGTTTATACAGTCAAGATACAGAACATTTCCATCACTGCAAGGATCCCTCACATTACCATTTTATAGCCACACCCACTTCCCTCCCACTGCCACCCCCGTCTTAATCCCTGACAAACACTAATCTGTTTTTCATTTCTAGATATGTTAACTCATTTCAAGAGTGTTAATGTAAATGGAATGATACAGTATATATTTTTTCACTTAGTATAATTCCCTGGAAAGTCATCCAAGTTATTGCTGAATGGTATTCCATGGTATGTATGTACCAAAGTTTAATCATTTACCTGTTGAAGGACATCTGGGTTGTTGATATTTATTTTTATTATTTTGAATACTTATTTACTTTGTGAATAAATACCAATTTTCATAAGGTTCAGTCTTAAAATCATGTAAAACAAATTGAATGCTCCCTTCCGACTGTTTTCCTTCTTTCTCATCTTAACAGATAAATGCTGTTACTTTCTGGAGTATCCTCCCGATTCTCCTCCCAGTCCACCACAAAGTTGAAAGTCTAGTTCAGTGAACACTCATATACTTGATACTTGAATCTTGGCTCAGCACCTCAACTTTTCTGCCTCAGTTTCCTTATCTGTAAAATGGGGATAATAATAGTATCTCCCTCATATGGTTTTTACAGGGATTTAAGAAGCACGTTCATTGAGCAAGTGTTTATTGTGCCTGGCATTGTTCTAGGCGAGGTGCAGGGAATATAATAGACAAAAAAACAGTCCCTGTTCCCATAAAGCTTCTATTTCGGGGATGAGTGGGGGAGAGCCAATGAACAGATATACATTATGAAGAGTGACGCTATGCAGAAAAGTAAAATAGTGGGGAATGAGGGTACTACTTCCTGTAGGGTGATCTGGGAAGGTCTCCCTGAGAGGTGACTTTTAGCAGAGATTTGAAGGAAGTGAGGGAGGGAGCCCAGCTGACGTGTGGAGGAGGAGTACTCAAGGTGGAGGGACTAGGGACTCGGTGGTGCAAGGGTCTGGGTCAGGAGTTTGCTTGTCATGTTCAGGAACAGCAGTGAGGCCAGAGTAGGCTAGGAAGAGTGTGGAAGGAGATGAGGGCCACACTTTGGATTGGAAGCCACTAGTTTTGAGCTGAGGAATGACATCATCTGACTGAGGTTACATTTATTTTCATGTTCGTTTTTAAAAAATTGAATAGGTAATGTTTACATATGGTTCAAAAATAAAAATGATATATAAAAAGTACTATAGTGAACTCTAATTCCCACCTCTGTCTTTACTCACTGAGTTCCTGTACCTCAGGTGCATTCTTTTTATATTTTCCCATTTCACTAGTTATGGGGCATCCTTCCAAATTTTCTTAATGTAAGTATACATAAGTAGGAATAACAAATATATTTTTTTTCTTATTTTTCTCTTTCTTACACCAAAGGTAGCATGTTGTTCTGCACCTTGTATCTTTCATGTAACATATTTTGGAGTCCTTTCCATATTAGTACTCAGATTCTTTTTTTTTTTTTTAACAATATTCATTGTGTGGATGTAGATGTATCATACTTATTCATCCAGTCCCAGACTGATGAACACTAGGGGTATTTCTAGTCATTTGCTATTATGAACTATATACAATGAATATTTATTTATATTGAGGTAACTGGTTAATAGCATTATATAAGTTGCAGGTATATAACACTATAGCATGCTCACCATCAAAAGTCCAGTTTCCATGCATCACCATGCATTTAATCCCCTTTACCCATTTCGCTCTCCCCTACCCCTCCCCTAGTTCCTCTGGTAACCACCAGTCCATTGTATCTATGAATTTGTTTTTGTTTTGTTTTTGTTTTATATTCCACATGAGTGAAATCATATGGTTTTTGTTATTTTCTGTCTAGCTTATTACACTTGATGTAATACTGTCACCTCAAGGTCTATCCATGTTGTCAAAAATGATAATATTTCATCTTTTTTAATGGCTGAGTAGTATTCCATAGTGTATATATGCCACATCTTCTTTATCCATTCATTCATCAATGGACTCTTAGGCTGTTTCCATATCTTAGCTATTGTAAATAATGCAGTAAACATCAGGGAGCATATATCTTTTCGAATTATGGTTTTTATATTCTTAGAATATACCCAGAAGAAGATTGCTAGATCATACGGCAGTTCTTAATTTTTTGAGAAACCTCCATACTCTCTTCCATAATGACTGCACCAGTTTACAATCCCACCAATAGTGTACAAAGATTCTCTTTTCTCCACATCGTAATGCTTGTTATGTCTTTTTGATAACAGCCATTTTGATTTGCCTTTCCCTATAATTAGTGATGTCAAACGTCTTTTCATGTGCCTATTGGCCATCTGTTTATCTTGAAAAAATATCTATCAAGATCATCTGCCCATTTTTTAATCAGGTTGTTTTTTGTTGAGTTGTTTTGAGTTCTTTATATATTTTGGATATTAACCCTTTTTCAGTAGTATCGTTTGCAGATATCTTCTTCATTTGGTTGGCTCCATTTTTATTGATGGTTTCCTTTGGTGTGAAGCTTTTTTAGTTTGATGTAGTCCTATTTGTTTATTTTACCTTGCCATTGGATTCACATCCACAAAAACATCGCTAAGACTGATGTCCAGAAGCATAGCGGCTATGTTTTCTTTTCTCTATGTATTTTATGGTTTCAGGTCTTACATGCAAGTTTTTAATACATTTTGAGTTAATTTTTATGTATGGTATGAGATAATGGTCCAGTTTCATTCTTTTGCATGTGGCTGACCAGTTTTCCCAATACCATTTATTGAAGAGACTTTCCTTTCTCCATTGTATGTTCTTAGCTCCTTTGTTGTAAATTATTTGTGTGGGTTTATTTCTCGGCTTTCAATTATGTTTCATTGTTCAGTGTGTCTGTTTTCCTGCCAGTACTGTACTGTTTTAATTACTGTAGCTTTGTAATATAGTTTGAAATTGGGAAGTGTAATACCTCTAGCTTTGTTCTTTTTTCTCAGTATTGTTTAGGCAATTCAGGTTCTTGTGTAGCTCAATACAAATTTTATGGGTTTTTTTTTGTTTTATTTCTGTGGAAAAATGACACTGGGATTTTTGATAGGGATTACATTGAGTCTGTAATCAGATTGCTTTAGGTAATATAGAAGTTTTAACAATGTTAACTCTTGCAGCCCGTGAACACGTGATAATCTTTCCATTTCTTTGTGTCATCTTCACTTTCTTTCGACAATGTTTTGTAGTTTTTGCAGGAGATTAAAAGTTTTATCTAAAAAAACCCCTTTTTTAGTATATGTGCTGCCGAAGCACTAAAAATACTTATATTTATATCTATTAGTTCTTAACAACTCTATGAGATTTCAAAATCAATTATTACCTAAGCCGTTTTCTTTACAAATTTTGTAACAGATAGCATGAACTCATTTTTGTAAACCCAGGTGAAACAAAAATATATTTGTTAATAACTGAAAGACATGTCTATTTAATCAAACCTGCTTAATGTCAAATATTTTCCCAGATCACGTGATCCTGAAAAGGATTCGCATTAGTTTCTGTTATATTTCTTAATTTATATAACCACTTAATTCCTTTAAGCCAGTCAGATATTACAAACTAGTAATACCATCAATAGGCAGAAAACACTATACCATATATAAAAGAGACAAACACAGATGCCACAGACAGATCAAAACATAAATAGAATTACTAATAATTGTAGGGAATACCCAAGATTTTTAATTTGTCCTTGGCAATTTTTAAGTATGCTGGGGTGGGGGCGGGAGTAGGAGTGGAGGGTCGGGTATGGGAGACTTAAACAGCTTGTGTTTTTAAAAGTGCCCCCTCTCCAGTTTTTTTCCCTCTAGTTTCCTCAGGCTCAGATAGTTACAGATTGTATTTGTATTTCTGATTTACCTAGTAGGAGGGCCTGGGGAAATCTTGAGAACTTTTTCTTAAAATTTCTATCAGATTGAAAAATCAGCTTCCACTTTTGCAAAATTTATGATCAGAATTATTAAATCCTTTAAAACCTGTTCAAATATACCAATTCTTATAATCTTTTATCATAATAACGTTCTAAAAATTTCCACCTTGTTGCAAAATCTCTTGATTTTCCTTTTTTTCCACTCTTATTAACCTAATGTTTGTATTAGCATCTGTAAGTCCTAAGAAGCTGAAACAGCAAATTCGAAAGGCTTAAAACTAGTTATAATTCTTTGTGTCTACCTTATCCCCGCCTTTAATGGGGCAGGGGCAGTCCAAGACAAGGTACTGGTCAGTTTCATTTCTGGTGAGAGTACTCCTTCCTGGCTTGTAGTTGGCCACCTTCTCTCCCTTTTTCTCTAAAGTGCCAGGCAGTTGTATTTCCAATGTCCCAATTTTTTTTTTTCTTTTTTACAATATCTGCAAATATCTTAAGGTGAATAGGAAGAGGTCTGAGTGGACTTTTGATTTTTGTTCTGATTTCTGTCCATCTTATTAAGGGAGTCTTAATCGCTAGTTATTACACCAATATGAGGACTCTCTTAAAAATTTTTCAGTTTAGAAGTTTTCCAATTCAGGGTATCCATCACCTGGCCAGTGATGGTAAGATTTTAATAGCAACTCAAACCATAAGCGTTTTATGCTTAACTAAGGAAACAAAAGGCTTCCATAAAGAGCACAAAGGACGCAGCCCTCATGGATCCAACAGTTCATTAGCAGAGTTAGCCTAAAAAAGATGGGGAGCCCTGTCTTTCAGCAGCTCTTCCAAAATAGGGAATCATGTGCTTCTCCCCACTTTTGAACAGAATATGGTTTAAGATGAACTAAGCTTGGATCCACAGCCTATTCAGCTGCTCGCCAGATGCATATACATAATCCAGCTGGTGGAGATAATAGACCATCTCTGGCAGGAGCGGTATTAATAGAAAACAGGAATACGTAAACCAAGTTTTTCCCAGAGTCATGTTTGCCCCAAAACTAGTTTCACAAATATTTCTCCTGTCAATCTAAGTTTAGAAAAGAAAAGAAAAAAAAAAAGGACTCTTAGCACTTCTAACTTCCACCAAACCCCACAGACATCAGATGGGGTAAAATGCTTACCATCTCTGCCAACTGTGGTGAGATGTCCATTATCCCTTAGCTGCAGCAGTCCAGGGAGCTAGCAGTATCCCAGCCAGTGAATTCTCTTGGCTGGCTCACCAAAATGGGGGGTGGGGTGGGTAAAAAAATATATATATCTTTTCATCTTCTAAGTTCTTCTAGAATCAAATTAACAGATTAATAAGAAAAAAAATCAAATTTTTAATAGATGCATGTGGGGAATTCACATAAGCATGAGAATTCCAAAGACAGGCAGCATTGAGTATATATGACATTGTTGACAGAGAAGGTGGGGAATGGATCTTAAGATTTCAAAAGTGAGAATGGACTTTTCTTACACGTAGTTGAGAAAGAACAGAAAACATGTGGCGGGCAAATACTTGCTAGGCACACAAAAGCAATGGGACACAGGGTATCTAACTAATAGGCTCCTGCTCAGTCTTTGTCTAATGCTGGGGTGATTATGCCAAGGTTTCCTTCCTGAAGTACGTTTTTCTATCTGAATATCTTAGGAAAGGCGGGGAGGGGGCGGGGGGAATCAAGGGTTCTAAGTCTTGTTTCTTAATAACCAGTTTAAAATTAATATTCCAAAAGGCAAAACTTTTGGTCCCCTTCATCTTCAGTGTACAGATTTTTCATTCTTTCTTAAATTTTTACCTAGGTATTTTATTTTTGTTGTGATTGTAAATGGAATTCTCATTTCTCTTATGTGTATAGAAACATAACACATTTTTGTATATGGTTTTTATATATGATTTTTACCCTGCAACTTTACTGTATTATTTCTGTTTTGGCGGTCTTTAGGGTTTTCTGTATATAAAATCATGCCATCCACAAATAGTTTTACTTTTTCCTTTCCAATTTGGTTGCCTTTTTTCTTGCCCAGTTGCTTTGGCTAGGACTTCCTACGATGAATAATCATATACGTTTACTATTTTGTACATTTTAGGGTATAGTTGTAAGATCAAGCAGTTGAAATGGAGTTCTTGAGTCAAAGGGTAAATAATAATGTCAGATTACCTTAATGTCTGTTTCTCCAGTCTTGACAATAATGTGTGGTTAAACTTCTGGATTTTGTGAATCTTCTGGTTGCAAATGGAATTTTAGTAGTTTCATTTTCCTTAATATGAGGTTGAGTGTCATTATAAAATCACTTTGACTACTGTATTGACAATAGACAGTTGGAAGGTGAGAAGCAAGGAATTTAGCTAAAATGCTGTTCCCTTGGAGCACTTTAATATTTACCCAGTCGGAGAGTTGAAGAGAAACCAGCAAAGGAGTCTAAGAAGTGGCCATTGAGGTAGGAGAACAGATAAGGGTGTCCCGGAAGGCAAGGAGGAAGTAGGGCACTTTAAAGCTAAGGGTGAAGTGGCCAGCCTCTAGTAATGTGGAGGCCTAAACAGTTTTAGTAAAACACTGATACAATGTCTGCTTGGACTGCATGTGAGAGAACTGAACACAAGAAACAGCTTCTGAAAGAGTTTTGAGTCAGAGGGTAAATATGTTGTCTCATAAAGGGAAACAGGACCAGGAGAAGGATTTATAAAGAGAGGGTTAATTTTGTTATTTAGATGAGAGATAACATTGTATGCTAATAGAATGATTCAACAGAGAAGTGAAAATTGGTGCAGGAGAGGGGATAATCGCTGGAGTGACGTCCCTGTCCAGGTTGAGGATGAGTTCTAGAGGACACCTACGGGTGGAAGATGGTAGGTAGCAGATGTATGATGGAAGCATGTGAAAGTTCTCTAATTGCTTGAGTTTTCTTCCTGAAATAGTATGGACATCACTTGAGATTATGGTGGGAGAAGGAAGAGATGTTTAGAGGTTGGAGAAGAGGACCAAGGTAACGTCTAGGTACAGAGTAAATGGAGGAAATGTAATATATTTGCAGGAGAAAACCACCTTACTTGAGGCCAGGCATACGTTCAGACCAGCCAAGTTTTTCTCTAGCCATGTTCAGTAAGTAGTGTAGGCACAGAGTCCAGTTAAATTTAACCAAGGTTGAGGGTTTACCAGGTGAATACAATGGTATAATGACAGCAAGGGAGTAAATTAAAATAATCTAAGCTGGGTGAGGAACTGAGGACATGAGGGGTTGAAGGACAGTGATAAAAACAGTAGGTCCTTGTGGTATTTAGAATTGTAGTCGGGTATTAGGTGTGAACTAGGTAGGCAGAGGTCAGAGTGGGATCCCTGGAATTGAGATCAGAGAGGGGAGCAGCTATAATGGCAAGAGCGAGGATATGTTCATGGGTGAGAATGGCTGAGGTCAGGAGGATGATCGGATCTGTGAAGTCAAAGAACTGAGACAAAGTTACTCGAAGGGTCATTCACATAGCTAGTGAAATCACTAGGAATTATGACAAAAGTAGTGTGGGGGTGACCAGGAGCCAGGTCTGTAATGAACAGCAACATCGGGTGGAAAGTGGGTAGTAGGTGGTAGCAGAGATTAATAGCAGCAGCCTCCAGATTTAGGGTTTTTAGGGAAGGACATTGTTGGAAGCAGCACTGAGGGACAAGGACACTTTACATTCTACTACTACCTGCCCTCGTACCAAGAGTACTGCAGGGCTGAGCCAGGTTTCAGGTAGGCAAGGTGACATTACATTCAAAGCAGCGATGGGGATATAGGGACATTCTGTTGAAATCTAGGGGCAAAGTGGAAGTTTCTGCAGTTGAGGAGAAGAGGGAGATGGAGGTCAGACTAGGGGATATATGTGAAAATGAAAATCCGGGTGATGAAAAATGACAGTAGGGCCTGAAGGGAATTCGTGCTAAGAAATGGAGGAGTATGAGATTCGCTAGGAACAGCAGAGCTCCGGGGCCTGCTCTTCCACCCTGCCAGGAAGGCATGGCTTTAACTGGAGCACAGGGAGCTCAATTTAGAGAGGATGTAGGGGTGCAGAACTCACAGCTCTGGGAGTCCTCTAGTATTCTGAAGTACATACAGCGAAACAGCAAACAGCAGGCACAGTGAAACTGAAATGCAGATCCATTTAAGTCAAAATATCTGTATCCTAGATATTTTCTCCAAGGCTAGCTTCCACACATACCTGAATTGAGTAACTTCACCCATTGTTCATTTTAAATGTTTCATAGCAGCCAGTATCAGAGCATCTCCATTTTAAACAAAGATGCATTAAGGAGTGTCCTATACTATTTTATTATTCAGGTCACATCTAGGAATCAGTTTTGTTGAAGCAGTTAAATGGGACAACTTCCTTTATTTCTCCATTTTGCCCAGGAACTGATGTCGGCAAAGTGTGATCTTTTTATCCATTTTTCTTTCAGGTAGCAATTGTCGTATTAGGAAACAAAATCGACCTTTCAGAGCAGAGACAAGTGGACGCTGAAGTGGCACAGCAATGGGCAAAAAGTGAGAAAGTGCGACTGTGGGAGGTAACGGTTACAGATCGGAAAACTCTGATTGAACCATTCACTCTATTAGCCAGCAAACTTTCCCAGCCCCCGAGTAAATCCAGCTTTCCTTTGCCTGGGAGGAAAAACAAAGGGAACTCTAGCTCTGAGAACTAAAACTCAGTGCCACAGTTGTTTGTTGAATAGTGATTGCCTTTAACTGTCTGTGAACATATTTAAAATAGGCCATTTGTAGCTGCTTTTGGTCCTTTGAAAATCCCTAAGGAAGTAATTTAATGCACTTTAGGATTTAATTAAATTATTTGGGCTGTATTACTATTGCCTGATATAAAATAATATATTTGCATTCTAGATGCTTGAAATTTGTCCCTGATATTTGCACGTTATTTATATTTGTGCCTATGAGTAGCGACCCCCCCCTTAACCTGTTTCAGAAGCTATTATTCTGTATAACTTTATGCACTGTTAGCTCAAACATAACTTCATTTTAAAAAAATTCACCAGTCATCTAATGCCTAGGATTATAAAATGACATTTTTTGGTATGTCCAAACTGGATCACAAACAATTTGGGTACTAAATTTTATCTGGTGGAGATCCTGCTAAATTGAACAAAACCTATGATACCGCTTTGTTCACATTGTATGTGTAGCATGACTTGAGGTAGCAGGTGGTATAAATATGTTCAGACTGTTTCCTCCTTCTCTAAGAAAACTGGTAGACGTGTAAGGACAGGAAAGTTTCCATTTTCCACTTAGAATACTATACCTTTTGGAAAACTTTCTTGGATATAGAAATGTGGAATAAAATGTATCATAAAACTATTGAACTACAGGTAGTCTTCAAGTTAGATATCTGAATTTGTGCTAAGGTTCTCTGAAGATTTTTGCAAAATCTGAGCAATGGGGCTTATATTTAGCAAATTGACAATATTGTATCTAGTTTTAAAAGGAGGAAGCAAGCTTAGTGGTTTCAATGTGAAAGCAGTTAACTGATTTAAATGTAAAATAAAGAATAAGCTGTTCAGCAAAGAAATGTGAAAACATCTAGTAAATTTTAACATCTTAAATGGAATACTTTTAAGGCTATGTTCAGTGAATTTAAAGCTCAGTCCTGTGAATTCCAGCCAAGAACTGCACGTTAAGAGATATAACACTTATAAATCAGTGCCGCTACCATATAATTCTTCAAAATTTCTCATCATTTTTTAGGTCAAAAATGATCACTCAGATATGACTGCCACTCCCTGCATTCTCTCTCGGTTACTATTTGGTCTTCTAGCTTTTTTTCTATGTATTTTATGTAGATGGATAAATACTTTTATAATTATTAAGTAACATACTAGATCATCCTGCAGTTTGCTTTTTTCCCCTACTAAACTTAGATCTGTCTTAGCATGCATATAGTTACCATGTTCCTTTTAAATGCTTAATGAATGTATATGTACCTTGTCCTGTGCATCAGGGTGTTTCTCTGGCATAGATACAAAGAAATAGAATTACTGCATTCTATAGATATAAACACTTAGGCACTGCTCTAATGTGGCTGTACTAATTTAGCCACAAGAGAACCCATTTCTCACGTACTTGTCATCATAGCATCTGCAACTTAGAAATGCTTTTAAAAAGATGAGGTAGGGTTCATCTTTGAAAGACCTTTTCCAAGGCACCTCAAAATCTATCCTACAAGACTGCTATAAATTAGAGTAACATACCAATCCTAATAGGTGCTTGATAAATGATACCAGTTCATTCAGTCTATAGTTACTACGTTGCTTTTAGGAGTAAAGATCTATCAAGTTTAAAAGAACCTGCAAATTACAAAAGCAAAAGAAAGTAAATGAACACAGCAACACTGGCTGGTTTGTTTTAATATTGTTTATTAGCACAGTAACAAATGCAGACTTAAGTAGTCCACAACATATAACCAATTCAATGAGCAACTCCTATTCCACGCTTTACAGTTAACAGCTTAAGGTATTTTACTACAGGTTTTCACAAGTCCTGATTCAAATTTCTAATCTTTTCACAATAAAGTAGATTGACATATAAAATAAAACACATAACTATTCATTTCCTGATGTGTGTCCATTGACATGAGATGACAATCTCTAAAAACGTAAATATCCATGTTCTCTTCCAAGAAGGGCAAACAAGTTCTAATTTTTTATAAACAAAAATGTATGTACTCCTGAAGGACTTCACATAAATGGCCATGTGTGTAACCTGTACAAAATTAAGCTGTTTTAAATTTACAGACTACAAGCAACTGAACCCAAATGTCTATTCTTCGCTGTACTACATTTCAGCTAATGTTGCAGAACTAATGACAATTTTAAATGTTGCTATTACCAATTCTGTCTACTGTAGCAAGATACCTTAAGTTACAACAAAATCTTAAGAAATAAGACTGAATAATATCTGTTATAGAAATACCCTACTCTTTACCAACTCCCACCCTCCCCCACCCCTTCAAAATCATAAGCAGCTCTCTGTGACAAATAAGGTAAGAATTGTGAAAACCCAATTTATGTAGCGTATCTCTTGGTCCACTGTCTGGCCATTCTGTCATGTTCTGCTCTGTTGGTCATATACTGAGTGGCAATACTTCCCACCAAGGGATCGGCTGGAAGAAAAGAATGTAGATTACTTTGGAGAAAGGAAAAGGACATTTTAAATTTTAGCAAATTAGTGACAGCTTATAGCTTAGGAAGAACTGTACCAAGTATTTGTGATCAAATCCATTTCTGATACACCACTCCACCATTCCAGGTACTTTAAAAAACATAGCAATGCAGGAGCGAAAATTCTTATCAAAATAGAATACTTAGGCTTTTAGTACTGGTCTGGCTTTATCTCCTTAGTTCATTCCATTCCTCGCCCAAACGCCACCCAGAGTTTTTTTTGTCGTTGTATGTTAGGGTAAATTCAATAAACTAGAATGATCAAGGCTCCAGACTACAATGCACATCCAGCTGTGTTCACATGACCTTTCTCAGTGGCAGCAATGACACTGAACACCGGAAGTCCTGGAGGCTGTTGCAGTGTAACACCGTTTACCTCTACACTGTTTACCCAGAGAGAGCCTGGACTCCAATTAAGTACAGCGTTTCTCTGAATCCTAAATAGAATCTTTTATATTTGGTTTATTTGGAGAAAAAAATTTTAATAAAGGAAATTGAACACCGCCTCAGTAACCAGCTAGAGGGCAAGTGCTCAATGAATCTATAGACCCAGGTGAGGTTAAACAGGCAAATGACTCAACATTTAGAAGTATGTGGTTTAAGAGAACCATATGAGAAATATGCAAGAGAGAGAATGGAAAATGTGAAAAACTATAGCAAACTGTAGCCTTCTGTTTGAACTTGTTCCTAGAATATATCAATGGTGAAGTTGCATATTCCAACTAGTAGATTGAACTTGATTAAAAATATCTTTGAAAAGCAATTACATTTGTCCTTTGAAAGCTGGTAGAAAAATGAAATCTGTACCTTAGGTTTATGTGGAAAACAGATATTATTTGGATGAGGAAGAATAAAAGTGAGGAATCATTAACCTTACCAGGATTACAGTCTGTAAGAAGTGAGCAGATAGAAAGGAGGACCTTCGAAATGGTTAGTGCTGGGCTCCAATTATCTTTCAATATGTCCAAGCAAATAACTCCTTGACTGTTAATATTACAGTGATAGATTCTTGTCCGAAATGTAACCTAAAAAATAAGTGTTAAACAAAAAACATCCAATAATAAAGCTTTATACTATAAAAACTTTTAAAGAAATAGTTTTAAAAAATATAAATAAAGTAACAGTTTAAAGATGGTAAGAGTTTGAGACTAATAAATTTCAGATTAAGAGATTAAAAAGTATATGTTGATACAATCTCAGGGACTGTCAATTTCATTTAAAAAGTAATATCCCTCAACAAATAGCAAAGTAACTTCAATATTTCTTGAATTCATCTTTAGCAATTTTAATGTTTTAAGTATTTTGCTAACATTTCCAAGTTTGAATAGCTAATTGTTTGCTGACCTCTTGTGTTAGCTGGTAGTACTACATGGCCTCAAAGTATGCTTTAGAAACAAAATCAGAGGTGCAATAGTGTGGGTACTTAAAATACAGTTAAACAAAATGCTTAGCAAACAATGATCACACCCCCAAAAAGCTGTAAAAAAAATTTGAAGATGAGATTTGTTTCTGTGCTGACCTTTAATTTACATCAGCTCCCGCAGATATCCTGTCTACGTAAATCACAGAAATTCACTATAATGGAGTCTCCACAGGAGAGGAGCCAAAGATGGGTAAGGACCACAGCAATTGACAATAATAAACATAGATCACAGAAGCCTGGGCGATTCTGTTTGGTCTAATTTTTGTTTGTGAAATACTCTGAATCATTCCAAAGTAAAAACCTACAACTTTACCACTTTTTTCTTTAATGACAGACTTTCAGTCACTTCTTGCTGTTGCAATTGTACATGTAATCTACCCCCAACCCCAAGAAGACGCTTTCCTTCTAACACTGTGAATGAGAATCATAGATTGATGACTGTTACAGGAGATAAGTGATTTCCCAAAGCCTAGAGGTGAGAATTTGAACAAGACCAAAAGATGACAAGGAGCAGAATCCAAGGCTTTGGTAGGAGACTCTGATTCTCTTACTGTCTTAGTGCATGGTTATTTTGACACCACTTTTTAACTGTTCAGAAACTTTTTGTTGAGTGGAAAGTAGGGGATTAATTCTGGGCTGCTATGTTACCGGACTGCTGTAGAGGAGTGCCCCCACCCCCATCCGCGGTTTCTTGATTTCAGTTACCTGTAGTCAACTGCAGTCCAAAAATATTAAAGATTTCCAAAATAAACAATTCATGTTTTAAATCATGTGCTGTTCTGAGTAGCATGATGAAATCTCGCACAGTACCGCTTGGGATGTGAATCATCCCTTTGTCTAGCATATCCACACTATATATACCACCTTCCCATCTGGGTTATCAAATAGACTATCGAGGTATTGTACTGCTTGTGTTCAAAGTAACCCATATTTTACTCAATAATGCCACATTCATATAACTTATTACAGCACATTGTTATAATCGATGTTTCGTTATTCTTGTTAATCTCTTATTATGCCTAATTTATAAACTTTATCATAGGTTACATGTACGTATAGGAAAAAACAGCACAGTTGACTCTTGAACACAAGTTTGAACTGCATGGATCCACTTACAAACGGTTTTTTTTTTCAGTCAATATTTTCTCTTACCATTTTCTTAACATATTTTCTCTAGCTTAAGAATGCAGGATATAAGACATGTAACATGCAAAATATGCGTTAACTCTGTTATCAGTAAGGGTTCCAGTGAGCCATTAGTAAAGTTTGTGTGAGCCAAAAAAATTACATGTGGATTTTCAACTGCACAGGGGGGATTGGCACCCCAACTTCCACATTATTCAAGGGTCAACTGTGTGTGTAGGCTTCGCTGCTATCTGTGGTTTTAGGCATCCACTGGTTTCGTTGCTATCTGTGGTTTTAGGCATCCACTGGGGGTCCTGGAACACATCTCCTGTGAGTAAGTGGGGACTACTGTAGCAGGATCAAACCAAGCACTTACTCCTAGAAAAGACCTCTGCCAAATGAGGGGACGTCAACCCAATAAAGTGTTGAATGTACATTCAAATGGTACTTAAGAGGTTCATTAAGGTATAATACAAATCTACTCTGAATAAAAACTCATTTTTAAAAGCTTCAGTACTCTCTCATGGGAATATGTAAATTTTAGTATAAATCTGGGTAATTTCTTACCTTTGGAGGCTTGAAGGGATATTCTGGTGTAAAAGTGATATCAAGGAAGAATACACCACCCTCATACACGGATCCCGGTGGGCCTAGAATGGTTGATCTCCATTCATAGATGTTATCACCTTTGGGACCAGCACTGTGAAATAATATATCAAAAGATAAACAGATGGTCCAATTTTTACAAAGTATCAAAAAAGGGAGAAAGCTCCCCTCTCTTCTCCCTTTTTGTTTAATGTGTGGATTCTCGC